AATAGCAATTCAATGAAATTTAATTTTTAATGAAATAAAAAATAAGGGAAGTTAATTATCTATCTATTTTCTTTTTCTATTGTTCTAAATATTATCAAATCTATCAAAAAGTTGTATACATTTTAGTGAAAGATAAATTAACTATACTCTTCAGTAAACATAATATTTAATTAGTTTATTTGATTTAAAAGAAAAAAAAATGTACAACCAAGCAATCTTTCTAATTATAATTGTCAAAAAGATTAATCTCCGTTGTTATTTAATAACTCAATTATGTCTAAACATATGATCAACATTTTAAATAAAAATAGTTACTATATATAATAAAGTATAAATGTGTAATAAAAACGACGTAATCACCGACACAATCTAAAAACTTAATTATTTATATCGATGAAATTATTTCAATTATACCGATCAATAATTTTACGAAACACTTCACACATCGATTAATAAAATTTTAAATCGGATAAATTTTAAAATTCATACTAATATACGAGATATGCGTTTGCGCCAATTAAAAAGGAAAAAAACAAAAAAAAAACCAGAAAAAAATGAACAAACAAATAAATATTGTAAATAAATATAAAAGAAAACGAGAATAAAAAAGAATCATCCATTAGCCAACGAAACAAAGGAGCTGAAAAAAAAAGCACGAAATAGAAAAATAACAAAGAAAAAAAAAAAAGAAAAAAAAAGAAAAAAATAAAAAACTGTAAATATTGTAAAGTCTAATATTTCTTTTGATAACCATGAAAGCAGATTTCGCGTCGGGATTTTCAATGTCCCAAACGTTATATGCGCATCAATAACGATCTGTGGCTACTAGAATCGTTTTCTGTTGTGTGGAGTATATGTATATATATACATGCACACAGATTGACGGAAACTGAGAGAGAAATGGAGAGAAAGAAAAAGAGAGAGAGAGAAAGAGAGAGAGAGAGAGAGAAAGAGAGAGAAAGAGAGAGAAATGGAGAGAAAGAGAAAGATATATATATATATGCGCGTGTATATATATATATATATATATATATATATATATATACATATAGGTAGATAGATAGATAAAAAAAACAGAGAAAGAAAGAGAGAGAGAGGGAGAGAGAGAGAGAGAGAGAAAAAATGAGAGCAAAACGAAAGGCAGCAGGTTTACCAATGTGGTTTTTACCTCACTGTGCTTTCAACCTATTCGTTGACGTAACTCACAGTCGTAAAACGTTGACCAGAGAATGTGTTGAAGTGAAATACATGTATTGTAGATAAAAAGTATCTATCTGTTAAAGAAAGAAAGAGAGAGAGAGAGAAAGAGAGAGAGAGAGAGAGAAAGAGAGAGAGAGAAGAGAGAGAGAGAGAGAGAGAGAGAGAGAGAGAGAGAGAGAGAGAGAGAGAGAAATGGTGAGAAACAAATAAAAGGAGGAAAAGAGAAGGATTTCACAGAATGCAAATCAGTGCAACGAAAAAGGCACATAGTTCGTAACCGCTACACAAAACCACCAAAAGACCCCTACAATTTTCACCCCTCATCTCGATCGAAAATGAACGCATAAAGTTTCACGAATAAAAGGGTTGAACAACGAGAAAAACCCTTTTTTATCCCCTCATCCTTTCACCTCCCTTATTCTCCAAACTCTCTCATCCTTCTCGAATCAACCTTCTCTCCCATCATCTTTTCTTGCCTTTCGATACTTTCCTTCGAAATCTCTCTCATTGGACTCAATTTATTGGACCGAACCTATTTTTATCTTCGAAGGACTGAATCATCGGAATCGACTCGTCGGTAATCATCTTCAAAAGCTTTAATTACCTGCTATTATTTCTCTTGTCGTTTACAGCGACTCACATTTGCGGATTTTTTTGTATGTTGAAATCTTAATAATTAGGGGAACAAAAAGGAAAAAAGAAGAAAAAAAGAAAAGAAAAGAAAAATTGGAAAAAGAAAAGGAAGGAAGGAAGGAAGGAAGGTAGGAAAGAGAAAGAAAGAGAAAGAAAGAGAAAAAAAGAGAGAGAAAGAGAGAGATGTAATTTTCGCAATTATTGATACAATTTGATATATTTATTTGTAATGTATGTATATATAAAAAGAATTATATATTATATTGATAAAATATTATGTGAAAAATAAAATGATACAATTTAATAACATTGGCAAACGCACAAAAGAATACGTTAGATTAAATATACATATATATAAAAATAAACAATGTGATTATATAGTAACACATGAAAGTAAATAAAAATTTCATGTGATGAAATATAAATGATTTTCTTCTTTTGTTTCTTTTTTTTTCGTTTTATTCATTTCAAAATTATAAAATTCATTTATTATCAAAAGCATCAATTAATATTCTATAAAATTGTTCATATATATTAAAATTAATACTTAATTAATATATGTATATATATATTTAAATTAAAATTAAAAAAGATATAACTTCCAAAATGATTAAAAAAAAGAAAAAAAAAAAAAAAAAAAAAAGGAAAAATGATAAAAAAAAAGAAAACAATGAAATATATACATGGTGTCGGTAAAATGACCCATACTTCAGGAGTGTATCGAGGGAACCCTATGGAATAACTTTTTAATAAAAACCAATGACCGTCATGACCAACTGCGTTTGTGATTTTACTTTTCTCTTTTTTAGTTGTTTTCCTTTTTTTTTTTTTTTCATTTTCTCTTCACAAATATTAAGTTGTTATTAAAAAGTTGCACTATGGGATACCGATACGCTTTTAAAATATGGGTCATATCTTTTGGGACGCCCTGTAACTGAATATGACGTGAATGTTGTTGCGAAAGAAAAAAGAGAAAAAGAGAAAAAGAAAAAAAAAAGAAAAGAAACTATTTCGAATTTTTAGAAATTTTGAAAGTGAATGCAGGATGAAGGATAGGTAAATAGAGCTCTTCACTTTTTTATGATGAAACGTAAACTACGAAAGGATTTAAACGAGGGTGGATGCTTAAAGGGCTACTAGAAAGGGGTTGGAAAACAGAAGTTTCTGTGTTATCGATCGCTAGAAGGTAACTTTCTATGACTCAGCCAAGGTCAAGCTATTAGTCGGAGTCACACGATCTCCTCTTATTCTCTCTTCTTCTCTCTTTTTCTTCTTCTTCTTCTTCTTATTCCTTGACTAGAAAATGCTCAAAAGTAGCTTAAGAAGTTATCGATCTTACCAAAAGGCTAGTAAAGTTTACAAATTTTCGGATTTAAACTTTAATTTCTTATGATTTGGAAATATTTTCCACGTTCTTTTTCTTTTTTCATTCATAAATCTCATTAAAATGTTAATTAATTTGTTTTTTGTTCAATTGAAAAAAATAAAAAAATAAAATCTTTTTTTTTAATGTATATCATAAAACTCCGTTCATATCAAGAAATATCAATTAATCATGATTTAAATAAAAATATTCGATGCATCACATTTCGATTTGTATCCATTAACATTCGTACCCTTTTAGATAACATGCAAAAAGCAAAAGAAAAAAAAAAAGAAGGAAAAAGAAAAAATACATGCAAAAGTTAAATTCGTTCATTAAATATTGATTAAAAATTAATACAAAATTTATTATTCGAATAATTTAATATTTTTCTTTAAAAATATTATACTACTGATAAGTAAATATTATATTATATTAAAGATACAAAAAGAGAGAAAAAAGTGCATAAGTTTAATTTTTCAATTTAAGAAATAAAAAAAAAATAAAAACAATTTTTTCTTTTTTTTTTCATTTCATAATTCATTAATAAATAACATAACATTTATTACATATTTCTTTACTCGGACTTTTGCATGTTACTTTATATATATGTGAATATATATATATATATATATATATATATATATATATATATACACATTTGAATAAATAAAACATAGTAGTTTATCTTTTATACGAAATAGGTGGATTCCTCTATCACATCCATCATAGTTCTGAAACCTTAGACGGTTACTGACTAGCAGACGTGCTTGCTTTCTGACCGTATGCACAGCTCACGTACTATCGACACATAAATAATGCACATGATCGATCGATCATCAATGTAAATATAATTTCGAAAAGACGAAGGAAATACCTCTCAACGTTTATTTTAGATAGCAATATTCCGATTACGTATTTCGTATTATAATATTTTAGATTTGCACGTGCTAATTAAAGTTTTACGTTAATATGATATAATATGATAAAAATATTTAAAGATATTAATATTAATGATATAAAAATTTTGACGAATAGCAATTAATGTAATTAATAGATTTTTAGATAGTCATCGATGTTGCAAATATAAAATACTTAAATGTAGAAAATGTTTATTGATTATTAATAAAAATTTCTAATATTATAATTTTTAATTATTCTTATTGTTATTAAAACATTTAGAAATTCATTATTTAAAATATCTACGAAATTTTTCATTGCTATAATGATTAATAATATAGACGATTCAAATAATTGTATAATTTCTAAATATTATTTCTAATAATTTCAAAAATAAAAACAATTTTTAAATACTTATAAAAATTTTGTAATTATTATTTTTATATTGTTCCAAAGATTAACGATTTAATAACATAAAAAAAAAAAAAAGAAAAAAAAATATGATTTTGAAAACCTCATGAACTTTTTAATATTTATTTCTGATAATACTGAGAATTATTTTCAATCCGTACAAAAACCTATATAAAAATTAATAAATAAATAAATCTTAATTTATTCTGAATTATTAATTATTCTATGAGTTTTCGATGCGATCTAAATAGAAAATAAATTTGAGAAAAATATCAACTGAAGTTTTCATATTATCACTGCGAGAGATGATAACAAAAACGTTTTAACTAGAAAGTAGATAAACGTTTTTCTCATACCAGCGACGACGTTCGCTTCCTCAATTCTCTCCAACCACTTATTTCTATATAGTTCTACTATGATGATTTTACCAAGATTCTTCATTATCGTTTTCGAAGAGAACGACGATAAAGATATCTTTCGAATATCGACTTACCAGGTGTAAAGTTGACAGGCTTCTCCTTGAACCCAAGACAACTAACGTAGAAATGACCCAGCTTCTCGAAGACACCAACCATCCGACCGGTTTCGTTTATTAACATTTCTGAAATAAAATAAAAAAGAAAAGAAAAAAAAAAAAAAAGAAAAAAAAAAGAAAAAAAAATAGAATAAATTGGAATTAGTTAATCAAATTTTCTATATCGATCTAACGATACAAAATCATGAAGAAAAATTGTTAATAATATTTATAATAATATTTATGATTAATAAGAATTATTTTTTTTTTTTATTTTTTATTTTTTTTTTTTTTGTTATTTGATTAATTAATCAATTAATATCAACAAATCTGACGATACAATCGTAAATAAAATTTTGATATGATTGTTTTGAAAATATTAATGATCACAAAAAATGAATGCTCATGAAAATCTTATTTTCTCATGTTTGCTAACGAATCAATGAAAACTAATGAATTCAATAAATAATCGTATATTGATTATTGATTCTATATATACTATCTCTCTCTCTCTTTCTCTTTTTCTTTTTTAAATTCTAAATCTTAAATTTTAAATCAATTTATATCTCAACATTGTCTGATGGATTACCAAATAATAGATCAAACATTTCGTACTTTTATTAAAAAAGTATTATATTATATATATATATATATATATATATATATATATATATATATATATTAAATTGTTTAATAGAAAATTTCATTAAAATTTCATTAAAATTTTATTAAAAAATTTAATATCATAACAATAAATTATTTGCAATAATGTATTAATCTCAACTACGAATATTTTTCTATATCATTTTAAATTAAATTTTTACAATAAGAATTTAATGCTCATTGCAGAAAATTGATCGACTTACTATATAATAAAAGGATCTTTTTTTTTTTTTTTTTTAAATAATCATCAATTGTCATTCATATACAAACACAAACTTCGCGTACGCGTGTATACACACACACACACACACGTGCACACAAATAGGTATCTCATAATATCATTAATATCAATTAACACTAATTTGAATTAATAGATTCGCATTCAAAATAGGTATAAATAAAATGTAACAATACTATTCTCCTTTGTTCTATCAAAATAAATTTTTCATGTCAACGCCGATTAGTCAAATCTTTTACGACAGGATTATTAATTACATTTGACAACTTAAATTCTTGGAAAACCTATTAAAATAATAAATTTACCGTGACCCTTGCTCTTACCCTTTGCCCTTACCCTTATCCATGATCATGTTCATGTTCATTCTGGTACTTTTGTTCCGTGATTGTGATCCTTGATCGTGAACCATGATCCATGAACCGTGACTCGAGAGAAAAAAAACTTAAACTTAACTAAAGGCTTATCATTTAAAATTAGGGCTTCATCGTTCGTGATGTTCACTAAACAACCTACTTATCAATGATTACCACTAATGAAAAGAAAAAAAGAAAAAAAAATCAAAAAAAAGAAGAAGAAGAAGAAGAAGAAAGAGAAGAACAAATCATCAAAAAGAAAGCTACTTCAATCGCCAAAAGAACTTGTATAGAGCCATTGATTTCAATATTTCCCTCAATAAACTCCTACACATCCTACATGGAATAACAAAAGTATTACTTATGTATGTATGCATTTATGTATATATATACATATATATATATATATATATCTAAGTATGTATCTATGTATGTACGTATGTATATATCGACGAAAGCTCTTTAAAAATAGAAACATTCAAAAATAGTCGATAGAAACAAGTAGTAGTATAATATGAAAACCTCAGATAAAACAAATGTTGATTGTTGCTTGAAATGTTGCTTCTGTCTTTTCCGATATATATCCTTTTGAATAAGAACCTTTACAAAGTCTGACTGAAGGTAACAACACAGACAAAAGGTAACAGATAGAACATCTTTTCCAAAGGTAAAGTGTGTAACCCACAGAGAGAGAGAGAGAGAGAGAGAGAGAGAGAGAGAGAGAGAGAGAGAGAGAGAGAGAGAGAAAGAGAGAGAAAGAGAGAGAAAGAGAGAGAACGTACATATGTAACTCTACGGAACGTTAGATCGTTTCGTTCCTAGCTTTTCGATGTTCAATGAGAACAGTACACAGAGAGGAAGAGAATGAGAGAGAATGAGAGAAAGAGAGAGAGAGAGAGAGAGAGAGAGAGAGAGAGAAAGAGGAATACAAGGAGATTCGTATGTGGAACATGACGAGATCTATCGTAGAACATTGAGAATATCACATACATTCTTATGCATATAAACGTATACATATATACAATATATATATATATGTATTTATATATCTATATAGATATGTAGATCTATATGTATACCTATATGATATCTATATGTATATCTATATGATATCTATATGTATATCTATATGCATATGTATATATATATATATATATATATATATATATATATTCTAGCCCTACGTGTAAGATATATCGATTAACGTGAATTATTTATAGTACGGACAAGCAAGAGTACTTGATTCGTCCTTTAGCCCCGTGTATCTTATGTACTATGGTTCTTAAATCTAGCTTCACGACGAACTCATCAATTTATTCAACTACCAACTACTACACTTTGCTATGCTATATTATGCTATGCTATACTATGCTTTGCTATACTATGCTATGCTATGCTATGCCATAGTTTCTTCTCTTTTATTTACGAAATTTTCATTCCTTTCGTCTTCATCTTCGTCTTCGTCTCCATCTGTTCCTTTTTCTTCGTTTTTTTTTCTTTTTTTTTTTTTCTTTTCTTTTTTCATTTTTATATCTCGGGAATACTTTTTACGTCAGTAATACAAGACTTTATTATGGCTCTCTTTATTTGCTCTCACATTAGCAAAGTATTCTATATACATAGACATATCTTGTTTGTACGTAACATCACGTTAAACAGAATCGTTATTTATTCCAAGAGTTCCAATTAAATTAATTGCATTAGATCGTTAAATAATTATTATAACAATATTGATATTTTATTCTTGAACCTTTAAATGTATGTACGTATTCGTAGAATTATTATATATAATATTAGCTAATGGAATTTAATTTAATTTACATTATAATATATACATACATATATATATATATAATGTATAATTATTTAATTATGTATTAAATAATATATACATATATATATATATATATATTTATAATTATTTAATTATGTATTAAATTTCGCAAGAAAAATTGATATAATTGTTTAAATTATACGTATCAGTTTGACAAATAACAATACAATTAAAACTATACGATTTGTAAAAATGTATATTTTTTATCATTGACAAAACGTTCATAATCATTAATTTAATTATACATGTACAAATTTATGTTGTAAATATTCAAATGTAAAAAAAACTCGTCGAAATGACAAAAGACATTTTTATCTTATTATTGATTAATTAATTAAATAAAGAAATTTTACAATGATTATACGTTTAAATAATTCATAATATATTAAATAATAACGTGATAGATTAATTAATCGTAATAAAGAAAATAATATGATTAAATGTAAAAATTCCCTTAAAGGAAAGGAAAAAAACTTACTTAATATTTTAAAAGGAAAAAGGATTTATGTGTGTACGTTATAGACGTTAGTTTCGAACGATGTTAACTCTGCTACGATCTGCCAGTGACTGACATATTTAAAAACAAAACAAAAAGAATAGAAGATCATAGAGGACACACGAACGTAGCGATCACATCGATCAGGACAATCTATTTGTCTACATATTTTCCAATGAAATGTAACGAGCTTAAAAATTGACGAATCGAACGAACTATAGTATTGTTTGAGTTTTCTTTAAATCGAGATAATAAAAAATATAAAATTACATGGATTTATATTTAATACACACAAACACACACACACACACACACACACAGAGAGAGAGAGAGAGAGAGAGAGAGAGAGAGAGAGAGAGAGAGAGAGAGAGAGAGAGAGAGAGAGAGAGAGAGACATTTAAATTAATTCTTAAAATATAAATTCTGAAATGTGTATCAATAATATGATCAGTCTTAAATCAATTGTACTTTTTTAAATTCTATTCGATAAAAGTGCTTATTAAAAAATTAATAATAAAATTGATAATAAAAATAATAAAAATGATCAAGGGAAATAATTAATAACATAATAATAATACAATAATAATAACAATGATATTAATGATAATGATGTTAACAATAGACGTGATTTCTAAATGGAACTAAAGTAGCATAAGAAAAGTAAAACATTATCTGAAGAAAAAAAAATTGTTTCGTTGAATTTGGTCTTTTCTACGGAACATTGAAAAAATGACGATGATAAAACAACTCATTCTTTCTTTCTTTCTTTCTTTCTTCTCTCTCTCTCCTGTCTCTCTCTCTCTCTCTCTCTCTCTCTCTCTCTTTCTCTATCTCCTTCTCTCTCTCTCTCCTTCTCTCTTTCTCTCTGTTTTTCTCTTCCTTTCTTTAAAGGCATTCTCGCGAACGAGGACAGACCATTCGGATATGAGTAAACGAGCGTTTATTCATAATGACGGTAACAAAACTTAGCCGCCGTCTTCCGGAAATTATACCAAACTATTATATTTATAACTTTCGTTCTTTTCTTTTTACTATAAAGCTAAATATTACAAGCAAAATATTGTAAAACGTTCATACAATGTACATCGCTTTAACTATTTTTATGGAGATAGGAATAAAATGTAAGTGTGGTAATAAAAAAGTTATGATTACTTAGCTTACCATGCATTATTATTTTTTGGTTAAGTAACATAATAGTATATAAGTGAACATAATAAGGTAAGTACGAAATAAGTGCTGAATAAATCCATGGTAAGCACAAAATTCTAATTACGAAAAGAACATCTTTCGAATTTTCGATCATTCAATTACGTATATTATCGATTATCTATAGATCTTTTATACCTTATTTTTAATAAATAAAATAAAATTTTTACTATTGAAGTAAAAATTTAAACAATTTCATCATAATTATGTCTTTATTAGGAAAGAAAAATAATCCGAGTTTTCGATCTTTCAATTTCGTACACTGATGATTAATAATAGATTTTTTTTAAATAAACA